CATTTTCAAAGCAGCGGGGGGGGGGGGGCGCTGCTAATTAGCTTAAAAAAATAAAGCCTGGGGAGAGATCCAAACATTTCTTCCAGCACATCTACTTGGGCTCTTTCAGATTGGCTGCCACAGGACAAAGACTTTACATTAACATGCAACAACCACAGAGGGAGAGGAAGCAACTAGAAAGCTTCAAAGACAAGCCACCTTTGCCTGAAAGGGAGGCTGTTTTTGTTTGAGGCACGTTAGCACAGTTACTTTCCACACACACTCTGCCTCTTCCTTATCTAAAATGATGCCACTTTCATATTCAGAAGATGCAGAATATGGGTGCCCATTTCAGAACAACTGCGCCAGACTGGAAAGAACTGAACCGCACAGCAGTTTTGTTCCCCAGGTGTAATCTCAATTCAGATCAAGCAGAAATGTGCAGCACGATAGTTCTCACTGCATTAAGATGGTCTTCCAGCAAGTGGTCTTTTCCTAGCCACTGCTTCTACATTCTCTCCCACCCTTCCTCCTCTGACAAGTGAAGACTAAACACTCTTAGCTAAAAAATTCTAATGTCTTTCATGCATTTGTTTAACTACTCTATTCCTGGGACCAACAAAACTTACACGGGCTCCTAACCTTCAGGACACCTTATGCAAGACATGAATGATGGTCTACTGAAAGCCACCTTGGATTCTGTGATCATTCTGCCCGCTGCCCTTGTATAGTGCTCTGGATACCCTCTACATTAACGACTGTAAGCCATGCCCTTCATAATCCAGATTCAAAACTACTATAATGGTTTTCTATTTTGTGTTCTTTATGTGAATTCATTAAGGGCCAAAATCCTCTGAGAGAAAAGTATCTCATTTAAGCTGTCTCTCAGCAACCCACAGGATCTTTTTTTTTTAGTTTGCTATTAAGATAATCTGTCATATTTAAATTTGGGGGTTCATAAAGGCCTCATAAAGCCCAGATTCTGAGTTAACTGCACATCTGGCAACTATTCTTCCCTTCTCAGTAGAGACCCCTGCCTTATTCACTGGTGCCCCTGCTGTCCGTCACCATGTCCTCCTGTCTGTTAAACTTCCTTTAGTAGACTGCAATCCCTAGCACTTCCAGGGTCATGACCTGTAAACCAAACTACCACTAGAAATCAAACCCTGAACAACTGGACTCTTGTCCAGGAGCTGCACTGGAATGGCTTTGGGTGGGCTCCTCCATCTCTTTCAATCCAGAGGACACCAGAATTACACTTATCTTTTGCATTCCTCCTACAGATCAGGCTGGTGAACATGGTTTTATTCTAACAACCCTATCTTGGATCCTATGCTGTTCCTGTGGTTCCAATGGCTCATGGGGGACACTATTTCAGGTGACACAGAAGACCAGTGGAGCTCAGCTCTGCTCCACTCCAGCTGCATAGGACAGAATCCCCTGTGAGATGGGTTAGCCTGAGTCCGGCTGGCCCAAAGTCACTCAATGAGGGGATCAAGGCTGAGTGAGGATTTGAACCAAGGCGGCCTCAGTTGTAGTCAGATCCACTAACACTATGCTTAATTGACTCTACCCTGTATGCAGACATCTGTTTAAAGTACTGCTTAAACTAACTATCCTGAGTCTCTTGGAGAGAAAGGATCATCATCTGCAAAAGCAGTCAACTCACCTTTACAAGCTTCCCGTTCAGTTCAGGCAATTCCCCTATTTTCCTGTTGTCCAGCATTCTGATTTCGTAGGACTGACCTGAAGGAGATCTTGTATAGTTACCACAAAAATAGGTCTGCATTTGACCAGTTCATCGTATAATAAGATTAACTGAAAAGAACTGCAAACATTTGCTAGCACCTATGGAAAGCATAACCACATTCCCCCTTCCAAAAGCTGGAACACTTCTTCAGATGTTTTAAAGGGTTTTTAAAGTGAAGGGCATATCCACTTGTGCATTCATACAACCCCTTAACACAACACTTTCATTTAGGAGTACAATTGATTCAATCAGAAGTTGCTGCAATTTGATCCAGTCAACTGCATCGCTCTACTGATCTGTATGAAGCTTTGGGAAGTGGAAGATAGCATAGGTATAGGAATATGCTTGATCTAACATACCAGTGAGTCACCAGGCCAACTGCCAGGGGAATTGTAAGAGGTAAATCATTCCCATTGCACTTGAGAAATCAGTCTGTATACAAACCCGCATTTTACAGGTAGCAGAAAAACTGCAGGTTTTGTTGTTGGTGGTGCTGTTAATAGTCTAAAACAAAGTCTGCCATTTTCCTGCTACCTCTTTTACCAGTTGTACCCTAGATACTGTTCCAGGAAGCCCAATCTTTGAAGATGTTTCACTTCTTTTAATACTGGTGGTGTTAACAGAAGTGAAACATCTTCAAAGTTTGGGCTTCTTGGAACAGTATCTAGGATACAACTGGTAAAAGAGGTGTAATTTTACCACTTGTAAAACGGTAGCTGTTTTCAGTGGATTCTAAATTAAATATTTGCTTGTACTCCAGCCCTCTGAGACAGCATGCTTCAGAAATTCAAACATACACAAATGCCCCAACTACATCATAGAATACCTGTCTTTTTGTGCTACACAACTCCAGCTCACTGATTTACATCCAATATATTCAAATGATAACAATTCACATATTCCACATGAAATCTGGTCTAACGTTTTGTTATGCAAGCAACAGGGGGAAGGTGGCTTTCCTTGCTGGGAAACATTCTTACACCAAGGGGTTCCTGGAAAGCCCCTGGTAACCAGCTGTCGCTACTCAGAGACATCCAGAGAATATCTAAACTGACCAGCTGAGAAGGTATCCTTCTAGCACTAGGCCAATAATGAAGTAACAGGGTGGAAGCCCTGGAAAAAACCTTATAACAAACTAAGTAGTGCCTGTGCGATCTACCACATAGGGAAGAGATTAACAGAAATAACCTAGTGAAATAGATTGTGCTAAGTGATGCAAAAAATATCTTTATAAAATATTTATTATAAAAGAGGGGAGAAATAGAAAAGGACGATGGGAAAAGGAAGGGATGGGAAAAAGGGACAAACACAAATGCAGGGAAGGACACACAATACCACAGCAGACAGACTTTCAAATAAAAAGCAGAACAGCTGACGTAATGCAGCTAAGGACATTGCAGTAGCAAGTTCCTCAGAGCATGTGCAGAGTTGCTTGTAGCAACCAAGATGATGGAGGAATCTTTAACCCCTACCCAACTTCCTGTGGACCCCCCTTTCTGCTGAAGACAAGGGAAAATCCTGAACGTCCTCTTTAGGAGTGACAAGCTGATTTAGCCAATCCAGTGCAAATCTCCATCTGTGAGGTTAGAGGCTACTGTCAGCAATCAGGAAAATTATTCAAATGATTGCCTCACCTCCTAAGCATCTGTTAATGGCTCTGAACTTCCACAATGGACAAGTAGCCTGGGCCAAAATAGTTTGTCCTTTGTACAAAAAGGATTAGGTTTGGCTGGATGGCCCAATGTAGAATGGAAATGAATTGGTTATTCTACATGTAAATCCCAAGGGGTCCAAGGTCCTAGATGCTCTAGGCAGCACTCTTGTGCCCTGGTAAGGTGTTAGGATTGCTGTCATACTTATCTTCACCTCTGTTGTTTCATACTCAATCTCCAAATATTTATACCCACTTTCCCCATAAGCACTCTTTAACAGCTCGACAAATAATCTTCCGGCATCATAAAGGCTACCCGATTTATTGTGCCGTAAACTTTTATGAGCCAGGGCCCACTTTGCTAGATACAACAAGTGTCCTGTCCAGTTGCCAGGGACAGATATACACACGAGGTTACGAACAGAAAGGGGAAGGAGACAGAAAGGCACCCAGCATTCCGCAGTGTTACACTTTACATCGGAAAGCACAGATGAAGAGTAAATGATTGAGTCACAGGGGGCATGTGTGAACTACAACTACTGAAGAACTGGCAAAGCAGAATGAACTAGTGTACTTAGTGTACCTGCAAGAAGGAACAATTGCTTTCTGCAGTGAGCTAACTAGCCCCAGTCCCTCCTGAGCCCATATTCAAATATGCCAGACCAGAATGGAAATGGCACATTCAGCTGCTCATCACAGGAGTCTCCCTTTGACACTCTTCCGCTGGAATACAGCAACCTTTCTAGTCTGTTGTTGACAGTTCAGAAGTAGTCCAGTTGACAGGAGAACAAAGGAACACACACACACTCTGAGAAGTGAGCATAGAGGTGGACGTGAGACAGGGAAGCAATATGAGCGCACAGGACGTGCTCCTGAGGCCATAAACCAGCCTCTCCCAGCTGACCTCTGGCAAGAGAAATGCCGCTCACCTTGATTGAGATAGGTGAGAGTTTCATCATGGAGTTTCACAGCAGGGGAAGTGGCCGCACACAGCACATATTGGAAAGGCAGGATTTTGTTCTCATTGTCAGGAGGCAAGCTGGATTCTTCTTGCTTGAAGATGGGCAAAGCCAGGACATCGCTGAAAGAGAAATCAGTGATCAGGACCCCGGATCTAGTCTCACTCAACAGTGGGGTTTTTTAAAAAAATATTTACAATTAACACTCCTGTTTTGCAAAAAGTAACCCCCCCAAGACCTACAACTTCTTTTAAAATACATTTGCCTGTACAATTCAGTTTCTGTTGTTTAAACTACTTAGTCCCTGCCTCATTAATTAAAAAACTGTTCAAGTGCGCTTCCAGAAAAAGCTTAACACAGGAAATGGCAAGAATAGAACACAAACATACCCAGGATAAGACTAAAGTGCACAAGATACAAGAAGGGAAGAGAGAATGGTTGAAAGAACGGCCTATGATGCCCCACCACAGCTCTTGCCCTTCTAACAGCCAAAGCAGATGTAAAAATCACTAGCTGTTCTCTCCGAGTGTCTAAATAGGCAGAAGAGTTCCTAAGCAGAAACCTGGGTCAGCCAGCTCATAATGATTGACCTAGAGAATGAGTTGGATTTGGATTTTTTCTTCTCTTAGCAACTGCACTCCTGGCCTCCAAGGTATTAATATGAAGTATCACCATCTATATATCTAATAGCGAATTCTGGCCCCCATCTGCAGATACCTAAATCTGCGGATCGGGGCCACACTGATGCTAAAGAGATTTTTCTGCAAATTTGGGGGATGCCCTAGGTTTGAAAAAAAAGTTCCAAATCTTAACAAAAACATATTGGAGGAGGTTAAAATCCCACTTAACAAAGACATATTGGGGGAGGTTAAAATCCCAACGCTTAACAAAAACACATTGGGGGAGGTTAAGCTGCCTGCCAAATGCAAAAAGTCCGTGCATGCACAGACAACACACTTAGCATTAGAGCCGGGAGTGGCCACCATCACAAGAAGCCTGGTTGCCATAGTGGAGGACGCCGGGCCCAGCTCCTTACCCGGCAGTAGCAGATGCTGGGAGCGGCTCCTTGCCTGGCCAACACACCAGAGCACTCCAGGAGCCACTGTGGGCCTGGCTGGCATGGTGGAGCACTTTGGGAGAGGCTCCAGGCCTGGCCTCAGCAGTGGAAGACACTGGGCTTAGAGCGGCTCCCAGGCACCACTGCTGTCACCATCAGGCTAAGCATAGCTAGAGGGGTCTGGAACTGCTGGGGGGGGGAATCCTCCCCTACGAGTCTTCCACCCTCACCAAGTGAGCTAAGGGGAACTGGCAGCAATGGGGAGGGAGGGAATTCCCTCTTGAAAGTATAACAGGTCCCCAATTGTATTTGCAGAATGCTCAAGGCTGACCAGCTCTCTCCCCAAAATGAACAGCCCCTGGGAAATGGTGTGACTGAAAAGAGCCCTGCTCTCTCTACCCACCATCACATGCCTCAAAGAGAAGCTACTCTGCGCACGAGTAGCCTGAACCATCACATATCCCTTACACAAGTTTTAGGTGGTTCCACTCCCTCATCACTGAGGATGCATTGACAAACCAGGGCTTGAAGCTGCCTCAACCTGCCCCAGAAATACAGAAGACTTACCAGTTATGGGTGGGAAGACGACTATCAGGGAAAGCCCCATTTCCTACCAGAGCTTGCCTTAACTACGAGCCCTGCCCTGTTGCTGCTAGCATCCCACTTCAAATGGGTAATTAGTCTGACACGTCATTAGCCAGGAGGATCATAACAAACTCCGTTCATTTTAACTGCATGCAATTTAATTGTGTAAGCCTGAGACTAGACCCAATGTCAAACAATATCCTTATTCCAGGTATCACACTGGATTCAACAGAAGATTTCTATGGATGGAGGGGTTGTGTGTGATTTTTGCAGATTCACCCTCCAGTGGCAGACCTCCAACTTCCCCCAAAAAATGTTCCTGGGGGCCCCTCTTGTTGTGGGCATTATGGGCCACAGAAGGTGGTGGGAGGTAAGAAAGCAGGACTGTGCAGTCAGAAAGCCCTTTCCTCTGGAAATCTTCCACGGGATCCCATTCTTCATCACCCTGTGTGAATAGGGTTGCTAGCTCTGGGTTGGGAAATACTTGAAGATTTGGGGAGGTGGGGTTTAGGGAGGGAAGGGATTTAAGTAGGGTATAACGCCATAGAGCCCACCCTCCAAAACAGCCATTTCCTCCAGGGGAACTGATCTCTGTAATCTGGAGATCAACTGTAATACTGGGGGGGGGGTGTTTCCAGGCCCCACCTGGAGATTGGCACCCGTGAAAACCATCATTCTGTGTAAGCCCAATACAGGAATACAGTTCTTTATTAATATCAAGTTAAGACCGTTTTACACTATGTACTCTAGTCAGCACCCTCCCCACAACTGCCAATGAAAGTGGAAGAGAGAATCACAATAGTTAACGCAATATAAAAGTACTTGTAGTACGGAAATGCCATCTAGATGAGTTCAGGCAAATTTCTGGGGTCTCTATTGGAAAAGTAACCAGCCACAAAGGACTGAACGCAAAGAGATTTCTTGCAAAAGTAAAATACCCTGAAATACCAGTATGGTCTGCAGGCTACCATACTGGAAATCCTAATCTTCATTAAATTTCTAGCCCCTTCTGATTGCAAATGTTTAAAAATGTAATAGGAAGGAGACATCAAGTCTATATCATATTCTTGAATAAAAGGATCAACTAAAAATTTCTCTTTTGAAGGTTAATACTTCAGAATGTGAATGTTTATTTATTTAGAAAATTTGTACGCGTCTTCTTCAAACCTATTTGAAGTGGTCCACACCTAAAAATAGTTTTAAAAAATGAAGCAAGGAATAAAAACAAATCATGCCAATAAAAATGAGCCATGGTACAAAAGTACAACGCATATAAAATAAACATAGCAATCTGAAAGAACAGCCTTCAGGTAGAAACAGACCATAAAACAGCTAAAATGATGGAACTCCTTAGTTAAAGCATTGGTTAAAAATGTTTTGAATAGGTGGCAAAAGGAAAGTAAATTAGGATCTTAGATGGCAAGCTGCACAATATGAGAGCTGGTAATCCAAGTACCCAGTCCCCAAGCCATTTAGAACAATACAAACAACAACCAGCCCCTGGGAAAACAGATGAGCAGCCAGTATATATCTTTCAACACAGGGATGATATAATCCCTGGATCCAGCCCTTAATAACCTGGCTGCCACATCCTGGACTATGGCCCCGGTCACACGGGCAGGAAAATGCGGGGTGGGTGGGTGGCTGTTTGCCCTGGAGCAAAATAACGCGCGGCTACGCAATCAGACGTCCCGTAGAGGTCCCGTCAAGGTCCCGTGATTAGGGGGGAGGTGCCGATCACAGGACAATCCTGCGGCACGGCAAAGAAGTGGCCTCTCTAGCAAAAGGCTCCGCGGGTTTAACCCCTTCCAGGGCTGCAGAGGAATGCAAACTGTGTCCTCTGTCCGGTCCCCTCTGGGAGGAGCTTCAGCCGGGCTGCCCTCCCACCACACCTCCCCTGCACCTCCCCCTCTGCCGTCCGGTGCAGAGAGTTCCTCTCGAGCAGGCCGAGCCAGGAGTTGGGGGGGTACGGAAAAGAGGAGGGGGCTGTGTTGTTTGTTTTTAAACAAAGTATGCGCATGCGCTGTTGGGTGCTTGTGCGCATCCCGTGGAGACTTGAAAAAAGAAAACCTTTTAGCGACGGGACATGGGCGGGTGCCGGATGCCAAGACCTAACACCGGAAACACGACCAGGCGCCCGCCCTTGCCCCGCGGTTTCCGGAAACTAGTACCTCGGAGGTACTAGTTTTTAACCCCGCATCTTTGGCAGGAAGCCTCAGGTTCGCCACGGGAGCTCTACGCTTCCCAGATGTGGCGCTGTGATCGCGCCCGGAAAATCCGCCTATCTTCCATCTCTGTAGCGTGGCTAATGCTCCGTGTGACCACAGCCTAACATAAGTTTCTGAACAGTTTTCAGAGGTAGCCCCAAACAGAGTACATTACAGTATTTAAATCTAGATATGATCAGATTAACAGAACACTGATCACCACTTGAGCTGCCAACCTGAGGCTCGCAACCAGTGGGAGATATAATAGCAAAGTCACTTCTGGCACAACCTGGAAGTGACATCACTATGTTGCCTGCAACAATCTAGCATCCACAACTCAATGATTAAACCATAAACCCTATAGTTCCAGGTGGATGGTAGAAAGTTGCCTGACATGACATCACTTCCCAGTATCGCTGGAAGTGACACCATGGAGTTATCATGATGACACACACCCCCATTTCCCCAAACATTCCCCTCTGGTGTCCAGCTGTGAAGCAGCAAACAGTATCAGTGGGGGAAGGAGATCTCCCACCAAAGCCGAAGACCTAGCCTCCCTAATGACCACGGCCAAATTACTTTTCAAGGATGGGGCATACCTAGCGTATCAGGAGAACCAAGCAAAATGCACTGTATGCCATAGAGGAAACACAACCCTGCAATTGTGACAATCCAGCAGCACCACAGGTATGTACCTACTCCTTTAGGGAATACTGCAGAAAAAGTGTAACGTGCCTATCAACTGTTCTTAGGTTTCTTGAAAAGGTTCCATCAAATTTAAACAAGCAAATTAGCTGTGACTTGCTGTGTATTTTAAACAAAGACTTCAGTACTGTATAGGACACCCATTCTGCTAGCACACAATTTAGGTTTAACAATAATTTAAATAGTAACAAAATCCAGAATCCTTAGGCCAGATCTAACCATTTACTGCTATTAACTGGCTGCATCATCTTCTCTGTGGACTACTCATTACATCCTCACAGAGGGGGGGGGGGGGGGGATCCTGGTTGTTTTTTTAAAAAACAGATATTTGGGTTAAAACTAAAATTTATGCAATATTTACAGTCCTATCAAACCTAATTTTACTAATTTAACAACATAAAAGGTATAATTTATAACTTACCTAGCATATAACCTTGTAAAATACATATTTATGGAATGTATAACTTATGCCTTAGTCTTGCACAAGCACAACTGCAAATATAGCCAGTACTTGAGAGTAAACTGCAAACTGATGCACCCGGTACTTGAGAGAAAACTGCAAACTGATGCACCTTATGCTATTTTAGCACATGTACTTTAA